TAGTGAGAATCTAGCAATAAACTTATAATAAACCCAGAGAGCTCCATGGTGCAGATAACTTGTTCCTGAAGCTCAGATTAAATGGATTCTGGCCTAGGATCTCTCAATAAATGTTTTCTGATGAAGTAATACTGTGGTTCTACATTGACTTTAGACAAGTTATCTCATGAGTATTAGTATACTACCCTCTTACAGATATATAGGTGAATTATATCTATTAATTTGTCATCATTTTGAAAACCAGTGTGATCTACTGCTCTGGAACAACTTCACTGCACCATTCTGGACAATTAATATAGCCCATTAATTTTTTTTATTTTAGGCTCTAAATTCCATATCATATTAGTACAAGCTGAACTCATAGTGGGAAAGTAAGGTCAGTTGTGCCACAAGCATCCTAATTTTAACAATGCTTTGGAGAATTATTTGAAGCAACAAAATATAAGTGCAAGATCTGTATAGACTGACAGATTAACGGTAGCGGAATCTCCCAGGTCACAGATCTGATATAGCAAATGCTAATTGCTAGGGTAGCAAATACTAACTTCTTTTTGCAAATGCCTTACTCATAACACTTAATCATACAAAAGAAGAGATTTTCACATCAAATGCAGAATAAGATGTTTAGTCACCAACACTTCGCATCCTAGATTTAAAGCTCCCTCCTGCAATTGAGTCCATGCAAATACCCAAGACTTGTAACTGAATTTTATTTTCCTCACACAGATTTCTTGTGCTTTTGGGATGCGTCATGGTAGCCTGTGCCCTGCTTGAATGTCTTGGATACATCAGTAACACCAAATGCCTACACATGGATAACTGCATCAGGCCCTTCAAGTTAAAAAAAAAAAGAAATGACACTTCCTATTGCTGTCCAAGTCATCAGTCTTAGTTTACTTTCCCCCTATGCCACCAGCCAGTTTTAGAGCACAGAACATTGTTTTCCAATCAAAAGATTTTCCTTAAAGAATTTAAAGAATTTACAGAATTAAAAAAGAAAAAAAGATACTCGTGGCATAACCATAATTAATGGCTGTAATTTTATACCACTAAAAATCAGAAAATCTGAAATTAAGGTTCTTGCTATAATATACCAGTAATATTGTGCAGAAGAGAAGTTTTATATAACTTTTCTGTTTAGAATATATCTTAAAAGCTCAGATGGCAACTGCTATGTAGCTGCCAATAGCATTAGGTAGTCAAAAATATTAAAATATTTCTTTTTTATTCCAAGTTACACTTATTTTCAGAGACTCTGGGAACTTAAAAGATAGGAAACCTAGATGGAAAAATGCTTGCTTTTTATCTGAGTCCTTGTTAAAAAAAACCAAACGTGGAGAAAGATTAAAGTTTATTTGTTGCTTAGTGACCATGAAAACAGTCTAAGCACCAAGGCAAATTTCCTTTGATTTGTCCTTTTAAACGTGTCTTATTCCCAAAGCCATATCTTAATTCTTACTGTGCTCATCCAGTTAAGTCCATTTTCTCCAGTGGGAAACTCTGAATGTACAACTGCTATTAACAGATGGTTCCTAGACCACTTTCTTACACTAGTGCTCTTTTTACAGACCTAACAGTAATAACAGCTGCTCCTGCACAATTGTTAGAATAATAATATTATGCTTTAATAATTATAACAGCTTTGTTTCTATAATGAAGTTTTCTATTTATCATTTTCATAATTATTACCACATTGTGACCTCAGCTTAACAAGGACAATATTAACATATAAATCAGTTATATTGGTATTTCTAAAATTTGCCGTAGTAGTTTATCATTATTATTGGGCATAATTTTTTCCAAGTATACTCAGTGTCAGCAAACTCTTCTGTCACTGAAGTCAGACACATATATAATCATTAAGTTCAGTGAATGAGAGTAGTACTGCAGTTAAGATCTACTGATAGATCTTCTAGTTTGTGCAGAAAAAGATTGCAGCTTAGGACAAAGCTGCTGCCGGAGTCATTACAGGTTCTAGAGACTCCAATAGCAGAGTCATCCAAAATCCCTGGTGACAGTTGAAGAAATTTCAGAGAGTACTTTTCTAGTTTAAGGATTACAGATTGGTTTAGGCACCAATCTTCCTCTGATATTTTATAATCTTAGCATTCCAAGGGTCATTTTTAAATGTTGTGTTTTACTTTTATTCAAATTTAAGTCTAAAGTCATCATGTACTCTACTTACAGAACCAGTTTTCTGTTTTTAATCCAATAACAAAGTCTGTTTTATCTTTTAAACTGTGAGTGTGAAAACTTCATCCATATTTAACGTTTTTCATAATTATATCTGTAATTACAACTATAAAGCTTTCAACCCTTTCTGGTAACAGATTGTCTCTGATATCTATTAATTATTTTTATCACATTAAAAATAAGATAGGGCATGCTTACAGGACTCATGACTTTACAAACAGTATAAACACAAAGCTTAAGCTTTGGCAACATTCCATATTTTACATTTTAGCTTGGCAAACACAGATTTCACTAATCAAGAATTAGTAACTGAGGAGAATATCAGACAGCATCTGCTAGGGATAATTTTATTCAAATCAACAGGCCCAAATAACTGAAGGCATCGCTTCCATTAATTTTTAATAAGTCTTGAAATAGCAGGGAAATTCCAGAAGAATGCTAAATGTGCTAATAATTTCTAAAGAACAAGCAGCAAAACTGGTTAGCCTGACATCAACCAAGACAAAAGAAAGAGTGAGCTGATAGAAAGTCTAATTAGTAAAGCGTAAAGAAGTTAATATAATAAATGGAAGGAAGAAGGGTTTTAGAGAAAATAATTCTCATCATAGTAACATGATTTTTATAAGATTACAGATTTGTCTAATAAAATTGCCTAGTTTAGACTTTGTAAAGCAATTCATTCAATAACATGACTGATTAAAAAGTTTGCACTATATAATATCAATAAAGCACAAGCTAAATGGGCTGAAAATTGATTAACTGATATGTCAAAAAATACTTGTGAGTGAAATATTATCATGATCTACCAGAATCAATGAAGGAGAAACATGTACAAAATTAAGAATAAGGATAGAAACATAAATAACGATAAGAACAAGGCACTCTGACAAGTTGTCAGAATCATTTGGTTACCTTGATCCTAAAACCAAAATGTGCTTTAATACAGCCAAATGCAAAGTTATAGCAGTAGGATCACTGAAAGCAAATCTTATGGCCTCTGGAATAAAAAGAGGATGGAAATATTATAGAATATAGATGCTACATGAGAGTTTGAGATGAGGGGATATAACAAGGTATGGTCTCATATTTGTCCCAGTAACATCATGGCAAGAAAAAGCCAGTGCTTTCCTAGACTGTACACTGAAAGAAAAATTAATTAATGTTCCTTTATGTGTGGAACTCATACAATATAATAATAATATAATAATAATAATAATGGCCAGTCTTCGCGAACGAAGATCTGGGGAAAGGTCTTTTACCTTTCCAGCCTGCGCAATG